AGAAATGAAAACAAATTTATAAAATTGATTTTGTCATAAGGATCAGTTAACTTGTTTAGGGTGAAAATACAGACTTAGTTTTTTCTATGTATTATTTTTAGTTTTGCTCTGAGCAAAGTAGAACTTTAACCTCCAACTCTTTCATAAAGAAACCTAAGCCTGTCCATGTTTGTCCGTGTTTATCAAATCACCGTGGCCTCAAAAACTTATCAGCGTCGTCTGAACGCAGATCTGAAAGAAGCCCTGAAGGTTGAAATAACTATAAATAATAAACTATTCAAGTGGCGCTGAAGTATGTGATACCTTTTTCTGTTTTCATAGGCCAAACTCACAGTCGTACAAATCATTTCTAACACATGTTCATGAGTTAAATTGAAGCGCTCGGGCTTCCCAGCGTGCTGCACGGCTGATTTTAGATTCTGTGGTTAGAAAAAAAAAGATCTGTTAACTCGTTCAATTTGAAAAGAAAGCAGCACAGCTTGCTGAAGTTATGTGTTTTGACACTTGAAGCTTTTGGTCTTGATGGGCCGCAGAAGGTGCTCAGTAGGAGTAGTCTGTTCGGTTTGGCTCGGGGCCCCTGAAGGCGTCATACAGCAACAGAAAAGTTGCAGCCAATCACATTTCTGGCCAATCCTTAAACGCTGCAGCCTGTTGCTATCTGCAGGGGAAGCAGACTGGATTTGTGGGGGAAGAGTTTGTTTAAAGGGAGTGCTAAAGTTAAAAAAACTAACAGAAATCTGTGTGCAGGGCAGTCTTGTGACCTGCTGGCTCTGATGGAAAGATGCAGGTCACAGAGGTCAGATTATTACATTGTGTTGACTTGGTGAGATGGGGGATGGGGATTATAAAAGAGCCTTTGAAGCGTGTTAGCACGTGGCATGCCTTCATGTCTCAAACACCAGAGGCAGAGCAGACAACTCTCCTGCAGTTTGTGTCTTTTCTAGCAATTTGTTCTCAAGAGTGGAGAAAACTGAGGGGACCGGTATGAGGTGGGACTCGAAAAGTTAACACCACCAGCTCCAGGTTGTTTGGCTGCGTGTTCATGACAAGCAGCGCTGCGCTCCTTCTCAGACCTTCTCAGAGATCAGTTGCAGCTGTTTAGGGCTTCTCACTGCTCTGCTAAACCAGGCTGCTGTAAATACCTCGCCTTTCTCTGTCGTTGGCTGCCTGCAGCACTGTTTGAAGCGCATCCTGGTGAAAAGTCATCCTGGACAGAAGCAAAGGCTGCTGGGACATCACAGCCTCGACACGACAGTCAGCGCAGAGGACAAACATGCATCGACTTTTCGTTCTGACAGGAACAATAACTCCACTTGTAGAAGAGCTTGAACAAAATAAAAACTTTCACATTTCTGAAATGTTTAGAAAAATGCCTTGAACTGAGAAACGATTTGTTTACAGCAAAGGCTGAAAGTGATCGACATGAATTCTTTTTGCAGAAATTGTTTACTAGAACCTTCTCAGCGAGAACTTTACAAGTTCACCTCCCAGTCTGGGGCCTCTTTGGGAGGAGTTTGAATGTTTTTCCCGTGCATTGTGTGGGTTTTCTCCAGGTACTCCGGTTTCCTCCCACCGGACATGTTAAGTTAATTGGTAACTCTAAATTGTCCCTAGGTGAGTGGGTGAAAGGTTGTTTTTCTTGGTGTTTTCTGTGATGGACTGACCTGTCCAGAGTGTTCCTTTCACACAGAGACTGCTGGAGACACCAGCTCCTTGCAAAAGGTGAAGCAGGTAAAATAGTGGATGGATGAACATTTTGATCAAAGAGTGCAATAAGCAAGACATTCTCACTCTTTCACTCATAATGAGCACATGAAATGTGATTTTGGTAAGGGGGGATTTATATTTTTTTTAATATTTTCAAGTGTACAAAAAAAGCACACACAAAAAATGTTGACAAACCGGTTTTATTCTAAGTAAAGCTGAGACACAAAACCCATGTGCTCATATTGTACTAAGGTAAAAGCGTCATTCTACATTTGTACGCGTCTCAGAATTGTTTAAAACTTACAAATACAGACGTACAGATATTTACGACAAACTATAAACACCTGAAACTGACTCAAAAAGAGAACTTTGTGAGTTTAGGAGAAAATAGTTGAACTCGGGCAGATGATACAGGAGCCTGCCATGAAACTCAGTTATTACACAAGCGGTCAGATTACTGTACTGAACTCTTGATAGTAATACTGTACTGCACTAAGCCACATCCATGACACCTAATATACTTTTTTTACACCATGTGGCGGTATCATTTTAATGTAGGTTGGAGCATCCCTGATGCATCCTTACATTTCTATGCTGAGTGATGACACAGTTGTTTACTGTCGAGCTAAAACAGTTGCTAAGGCTTTCCAGCTTTTGCAATCTGCTTTTGACATCATCCATTCAGATTTGTTCCGTCTCAAACTTGTCCTAAATGCCGACAAAACCAAAGAGATGTTGTTTTCAAACAGGAAGGCGGTTCCAGCAGTTCTTCCTCAGATTTTGTCCTCAAATGGTGCTTCTATTGAGTTTGTCTATTCCTACAAATATTTGGGTATCTTGGTTGATTCGCATCTCTACTTTAAGCCCCACATCAAAAACTTGGCAAAGAAACTGAAAGTTAAGTTGGGTTTCTTTTTCAGAAATACAAGTAGATCCTGTCTAACTCTGAACACTTTGAAACATCTTGTGACTGCGACTTTCCTTCCCTCCATTGACTACGGTGACATTATTTACATGAACGCTCCTACAAGCACCTGCAGATGTTGGATGCTGTACCCAGCATTGCACCCTGGGTTCACTGGACATCATTAACTTCACGTAGACCATATGTGTCAAACTCAAGGCCCGGGGGCCAAATGTGGGCCTCGTTGACATCTTATCTGGCCCCCAAGATGTTATTTTAAATGTAAAATACTTTTATCACTTTAATTTTTTTTCAGTAATCTTTGATTATGATGTCAAAAGTGTAACAGAAAACATCACATGGGCCAATCAAACTCTTGTTGAGGAACCTGCAACCAAGAAAAGATGTTGGGTATCGAACTTGAGTTAATGTATATTCTGAAACTGGCCATTAGTTTGAAAAAGCTTTTAATTTTGCCCCCCTTTTATAAGTGGGTTTGACGTCCCTGACGCAGACTCTCTCACTGGTACATTTTCATCTTTAAATCACTTCTTGGTCTGCTGCCTTCATACATCTCCTCCTACATGTCTCTGTGTGAGTGCAGCTACAGCGTGCGCTCTCAGGACATTATTACCTGCAGTGTTCCCTCAGTGAGGACTGAACTAGGCAAAAGGGCCTTCTCCTACTCCGCTCCTGTTTCCTGTGAATATCTTACAAAAAGATCTGAAGCTCTCGACCTTGATGTCTTTAAATGGCTTCCAACATCTGTTAAGTTCACGGCAAGAACCAATGCAGACATGTTCCTGTTTTTAGTTTTCTACACCACCTTATAATCGAGCTGTTTTTTGTTACATTTTCTTTTAAATGCCATTTTATTTTCACTTGTTAGTCTCAATTTGTACGCATCCTTTATGATTGTCTGTTGTTGTCATCACTCTTTGTTAAAACCAGGTCTCTCTTGTAAATGAGTCCCTGAGCTTCAATGTGGTTAACCTGTCTAAATAAAGGTTGAATTAATGAATGAATCATGTATGTCACTACCTTAGCTGGTAGCTAACCAGGTTTAACATTTACAGTACTAACACGAAATTTCAAAGCGTGAACATTTCATCATCTGCAAGTCTCTCTGTGTTCCAACTACAAAACTAAAATATGCTGCTGCTTATGTTCTTCAGTCTAACGGGCAACTCATTAAAATGATTTCTGTGGAGGAAATCAGTTCTACATTTTATTCACAACAGTTTGAACTCCACCGTAAACAACATCCTCCACCTTCTTTAAACAGAGCTCATTTAAGACGGTCTGATGTTTTGCAGGAAGATGATTCTTTGGTCTGATAATTCAAACAAAAAGAAAAAGCAGGAGAATTGTGTGGTTAGTCCATGTGTGATGGTCCAGTTGCTGCAGATGTAACATACACCATGCAAAGGCAACATGGCTGCTGAGTGATACGTCTGACGGTTTGGAGGAACATTTGTTCCCATCAGGAGTGTCTGCTTTTTTTAAGAGGAGTCTTCAGCTGTTTCAGTGAAACAATACCAAAGTACATTTTGTACATTCCAGTAGCACAGTATGTGGTAAACTGACCCGCCTGCAGTCCTCATCCATAACCAGTTAAAAACACTGAATACATTTTGAAACAAATTAAAACGAATCTAAAAGCCGAAATATTGAGAATAATATCTCAACATCTCAGCAGCACCCCTGTTTCTGTTTTCACTCCAGCACATGGTTTAAAATCATTTGAATGTTATTGCATTTAGCTAGTTTTGTTCATTTTAATGCTACATTTGTTTGGAAACAGTAATCAATAACATCTGTTACAATTAGTGTGAGTTCCTCCCCGGGCTGGTGTTTTTCCTTTTATCTATACTGAGCTGAGTAGTGACGTGATGTACTGTATGTGTGTGTGTGTGACGTGACTTTACACACACACACACACACGAGCAGTGTTTACTCCTGACACGTTCTGGAAGTTACCTTACAAAGATAGCCCTTTATGATAAAAAAAAACACAATATTACTGTACAGTTATTTTACAGCTTTTGTTTTGTTTGCAATTTTAAGGCTTTTTTTTTGTGCCGAAGTCAGAGAAGCTTGAAATAAATCAAAAAGGTAGAAATTACGACACAAATTAGAGGTTTTACATGCTGAACACGTTTGATAAATTGCTTATTTTTATCAACACTGGAGCTGGGTTTGTGTGACGAGCTGATTCAGACATCCAGCTCTTAATGAATGCATTTTTTTTGTCTCTTGAACGCATCAAACACGCCAGTTTTCTTACACGCATGCCCTCACAGATAAATAGATAACGGAGGTAAACAGACCCCTCGCTTTAACTGAAGGGCGGGGCTACATGTACGGGGCGTGGCCTCAATGAAAGCAAGGTCGTGTTTTCACGCGCTGGCAGTTAGTTGCAGTCTGCAGGAGCAGCTTCGACGTGTTTACGTTTCACTGGAAAGAAATGGCTCTGAAGACGGTGGGCACCACGCTGTCCCGCACATTGTGGGCCAAGGGTAACAGGACCCCTCCCGTGGGACGGTCCCCCAAAGGGAGCAGACTGTCCACGACCTCGTGCAGGGAGCTCGGAGGTACCAAGCAGCAGCAGGAGGAGAAAACCAGCCAAAAAGAAGGGCAGAGCTGCGGCTCGGACTCGTCTCACAGCAGCAGCGAGCCGCCACACTGCAAATGTCCGAGCGGGGACAAGAAGAGGCTGAAGGAGGCGGTGGGGGCTCCGGGGGTCCCGGGCGTCAGAAGACGGTGCTTCACCTCCAAAGCGGCTCCCATGGACCAGACTTCCTACCTGTGGACTCGCTATAACGACATGAAGCGGCTTGTTTACGGTAAGCACACAGGGGGGGCACCCTTTGTCTTCTCCCACCCCCTTCCTCAGAGGAAGCGGGCAACCCTCCACGTCATCAATACCTTCAGCGGGTTTATCTGCTAGCTTCAGGGACATTTTGTACGTTTGAGGTTTCATCCTCCCTTTTTAAACCAGGTACATGAACGCTGCGCCTCAGAGACGGAGCTGTTTTAAACGAGTGACCGTGAAGTACACACGCCGTTCTCCTGCGTCTCGGTTTGGGTTTAAGAACAAAACGTCGCTAGCAAGAGACACTGAACGCCTCGCGAGCGTGCAGCTAACACGTCACTGCATTTTAGTTTCAATGGAGGGTTCAAGCGGACAAACGTGCAACCCCAAACGGGCTGTATTTATCAGCTTTGCAGGGTTGTTTACATTAGCTTAGCCCCCTGTTGTCAGCAGTTGTGCACAGAGGGAAGGTGCATGCGCGATCCTGCAAACCATGAATGTGTCAGTTCTGCACAGCTGGACACAGTGAAGTTAATTGTGAACACCTGGTTTATGCTTAAGTGTATTTCATGAATAAATGTGGGTTTAAAAATGAACTATAGCTGTTAAAATGGTAAAAGTACAAAAAGTTTCTCAGCATTATTAATGTTTCTGGCTACAAAGTCAAAGTGGAAGTAGTGAAATCATGGCTCACCACAGGGAACATTTAATTTGGAGTGATCAGTGTGCATTTTGTTCTGAATGCTGAAACAAAGTGTTTTCCTACAGCGACTGACTCTTACAAAGAACAGAACAGAAGTTTGTAATGGAAGTTGGACATGCATTCCTCCTGGGCAGAATTGCAATTTCACAGAAATTAGTTTCTGAAAGAAAAACAAAAAAGGTGAATTTTCATGAAAAGAACTGGGCCTGGAGCAGAAGGCTGGACGGCAGCCAACCAAAGGGTTGCTGGGTGTAAGTCTGCTGCCCAGCTGCAGCTCCCATTGAACTGTCCCAGAATAGAAGGTCACAGCCCACTATAGCTTAATGGTAAACTGCCTGCTGTCCATGTTGTAGCACCAGTGTGACGTCTGTCTGGGGAAACTAAATGTAAACAGTTTAATCGTTTGCTCTGTGTTGTACTTGTAAAACCAGTAGTCGTAAAGAGTAAATAGCAGAAACAACATGTGTGAACAGGAAGTGCCACGCTGCATTGCGTTGCGTCTGAACACAATATACCAGCACACAAAATGTAGTTTTTCTCGAACGGCTCGGTTTGGTCAACAACCGGTTGATATTTGAGAAGCACGTGTTGCGCAACCTCCGCTGAGCTTGCCAGCACCACTGGATTGAAAACAGCAGCAGAGTTGAACTTCTTTCCCTCTGTGCAGAAGTGCACGCTCAGCAGGCTCTGCAACCTCTTTTGAACCCAGATAATTACAGTTTCATTTTTTTTAAATCTCACATGAGTCATTATTGTCCGACCGATTTTGATGCGTCACTGTTAAAACTGAGTCATGATTTCTCATCTGTCCTTCCTGGATCAGACCTGATCCCACCAGGTGCGTGTAAAAGCCTCAACTCCTCCGTCATCTACGCCAACAATGAGGTCAACTTGTCCGGGGTGGATATTTACGGCTTCGATTACGACTACACCTTAGCACAGTACTCCAGCACTCTCAACATGCTGATCTACGACACAGCAAGAAGCTTCCTCATTGAACACTTTAAGGTAAGTTTCACAGAATTTATGTCAAAAACTAACACAAGAAAACACTAAAACTGTGTTTTAAGTTCATGCTAATTCATCTACTTTGTTTTTGTGCTTCACAGTACCCTAAAGGCATCGCCAAATATGATTACATTCCTAACTTTACTGTCCGGGGTCTTCACTATGACATCCAAAAGGTGCATTATTTTACATTTTCACTGCAGGAACATGGGTTTCTTTGCCGACATTGTTAACCAAGTGCTTTCCCTCTTGTTTTGTAGGGTCTTCTAATGAAAATTGACGCCTTCCATTACATTGAGCCAGGAACAGTGTATCGGTATGAGCGCCTTTTTAATCGGAACATAACTTTTTTTATCTTTTATCTTTGCTTTTAAAGGCAGAACCATAAGTGGTATAATCAGTGTTTACTTGCTTTTAAAACCTGTCCTTGATGCATTCAGGGGTCTGAGTCCATTGCCTGATGAGGATGTTCTTCAGCTCTATGGGGGGACCTTCCATGTCCCCCTGCAGCAGGACAGTGGTTTCTACGGGAAAGTAAGGAGGAGTGTTTTTTACTAAACTCTTTGGTTCAGTTGTGGAAAAAAAACTTGGCGTCGAGACGTTTGTTACAGTTTGTTTGTCATCAGATTTTTTTTGTGCTTTCCTTCCCGGCGGGGTGTGTTTGGTTTAGTACAGACAGAACAAACCATCATAATCTCATTTGGCCACTCCCTGACAAACTCAGGATGTAATCTGTGGCTGTCCTCAGATATTTCCAAATGTTGGGAACTGCCCGATTGCAGTGTTGCATAAGACCAAATGACGACGTTTGTGATCCTGTTTGTTGTGTTGGCATCGCAAATCATCTGGAACGTTCCAAACAGTGTGATTCAAATCACTCTGCGTCCAAGCTTAAGCCAGTTTTGTTTTTATTTTTTATACTTTGTGGTCAGTAAAACAGGAAAAGCAGAAATCACTGTCGAACCCTGCAGACATGAAGGTTAAATCAAGTAGGCCGTATTTGGACTGATGTCTTCAATTATGTTTGATGGATTTTGGCCGAATGTTTTAATTGTTTACGTTCATCTTGGCGTTTACCTCCTTCAATTTCCGTAACCTTTAAATAAATTATCCAGAATCGTTTTAGTGCGCCTCTAATCTGTTTTTGTCTAATTTAAGTGTGACTGGTTTTATTTTCAATTTTTTACACATTTGAAAGTCACTGAGCAGAATTAAATTTATTTTCTACACACAGGGGCCAAAGGTCAAGCAATTTATGGATATTTTCTCCATTCCTGAGATGACGCTCTTGGCCGTAGCGAACAACTATTTCATCAGCAACGACATCGATTACGACCCGGTCCACCTCTTTAAAGACGTCTCTGTAAGTTTCCCTCTCCTGACTTGCTGTGATCCAGTTGTGGCCTCGCCCTGTAGCTCCCACTCCCAGGAGCATGTTGACCTAGTCTGTGCATGTGCCTGTTTTCACGTCCCGTTCTGTTCACGTGCAGCCAAAAGCTCAGGAATCTGCTGAGGCAAAGTTTACAGAGTACCACTTAGTGGGGAGCCAAGAACAATGCTGGCTTTTCCACAGCTTCAAAGCTTTCTGTTACCGGGGAACACCCTGTGCTTTAATAAGCACACACTCTGAGACGTTCCTAATTGTAACTGCTCCTGTTAGTCTTCAAATAAACCTGCTGGTTTTGGAGTGATTGCACTGGTCTGTGTTAAATTAAATAAATGACCTCAAACTTGTCTTGTTCCTAATCCTCAGGAAGCCATCGGCATGGTTCACCTCAAAGGCTACATGTACAAGTGGATCATGCAGGATCTGGGTAATAAACGCTCTTTATGTGGATGCAGCACATGCATATTTCCATTTTGCACCACTGAGTCATTTCCCCTGACTTTACAGACCAGTTTATCCTGCGAGCCAAAGAGACGGACTCTGTTCTGCACAAACTGTCCAGTCATGGAAAGAAGCTTTTCCTCATCACCAACAGTCCCTTCAGCTTTGTGTGAGTTTGATCTGTGGGAGGTCTGCAGCTGCAGTAGCTCACTCCAACCCATAACAACGTGCACAAAAAACCAAACTGTGTTGCAATCCGTTGTTTTCTTTCCTCCGTGCAGGGATAAAGGGATGACGCACATGGTGGGGAAAGACTGGAGGGACTTCTTTGACGTTGTGATCGTGCAGGCAGACAAACCTCACTTCTTCACTGATTGTATCAAGTGAGTACCATTTTTTTAATGTGTGACTAAGCCATCGTGGTTTTGGAGAGCTCTGTCAGCAATGTCCTGTGAAACTGTTACTGTTGCAGACCTTTCAGGCGTCTGGATGGAAATGGAGACCTGCGATGGGAAAAGATTACCAGTTTGGACAAAGGACAGATTTACAAACAGGTTGGTTTTACATCAGGCTGTGTTTTCTGTTGGGTCACCTGGTTAATTAATCTGGTTTCTCTCTGCAGCTGTTACAGATGTGTTTGTACTTGTGTGCATTAGGGCTGGCGATATGGACCAAAATTTATATCTCAATATTTTTAAGATGAATAACGATATATATCGAGATATGGCCCAGCTCTAATGTGCATTTTAGTGAACAAGTTGTGTTTTGTGTTTCAGGGGAACTTGTACGACTTTCTCCGACTGACAGGCTGGACAGGATCAAAAGTTCTTTACTTTGGAGACCATCTTTACAGTGACTTGGCTGTAGGTATCAAAGACTGGTCATTTCATAGTTATGGAGTAACCTCAATAAAAGTCCACAATATGACAAAAGATTTGTGGTGACTAAAATAATTTTCCTGCGTTTCACTTGTTTAATGTGTGACACAGCAAAGTGGAAAGTCTTACAGTGAAGTTTGATTTAGAGCTTTGCTGATATGACATGATTTAACAAGTAAAACTGCTGGCAATGTCATGGATAATATTTCTTAATTTTCAAAACTTTAGAATGAATGCTTTAATTACAGTTGTGCAATAAATCATTATGCCCAGATTAAGAGAGAAAATACAATATAGAGTACAGACAGGTTTCATCTTGTCCTTAAATTTATCTTTGAATGATTAGGAAATGCTTTTTGCACCATTATATAATCAACTGATTTTTGTTATTCCTGCTTTGATAGGAAAAGTATTATATTTCCAATAAAGCAATAGTTTGGATCTTTTGATATGAGTTTCTGTGAATTTTTCACTTTTGCCTTCTTGTTCAAAAGAAAAGCAAGCCATTTCTGTATTTTTAATTATTATTATTATTATTATTATTTACATTAAATATGCAAACAAGATTCATTAAAATTGAATAATTGTTGCAGCTCATATAAAACACTGGGGAAATCAAAAAGAGGCGCAAAGAAACAAATATGGAAGATACCATCTTTGCCTTGTTTAGATTGAGGTTTAAACCAGCAGCACATTTGCATCTATTTCTAAACTTACTGCAGTTGAAAGGTAAAATTAATTTACCATAGATTTTTTTTTTCTTCCTCTAAGCTGCAAGTTTTATTTTGGATAAATTCTATCAATGCTTTAGTTTCTTTCCCAAAAATAGATTTGAGCTCAGGACTGTATTATTTGATTACATTTCCTCTGAGCTAACCTAACCTGGGTTTATTTCAGGACCTGATGTTGCGTCACGGCTGGCGCACTGCAGCCATCGTCCCTGAGCTGGAGGACGAAACCAAAGTGGTGAGCGCTCACCAGTACGCAACCACGCTCACGTGGCTGCAGGCTTTAACTGGACTGATGGAGCGCCTTCAGGTGAGGACCTGTAACCTTTTGCCCTCAGAGAAACTAAACGCAAACAAAACACAATGTCAGGATTTCAACTATTCATGGATGCAATTGTGTTGACAATACTACAGCTGTCAAGATGCTTTTGAACCAAAACTGCTTCAGAATTCTGGAGAGAAAGTTGTATGAAACGTACCAAAAATAGAAAAATACCAACAAAACAACACTTCACACATTTGGAAAATGAAATTTTATTGTAGATGGTAAGACCCCAACATATTGACTGTTTTGACTTTAATTCCTTTGATAGGCTACACTCATTCTTTATTTTAGGCTTGTAAAACACTCACACATGCACACACACATATGCACGCATGCTCACACAAACACACGAGCATTGCTATTTAAGACTAGTCATAAGTTAAAAAACATGGACTAAAATCATGTAAACGGTTGTTTTCAAACATTTGGTGTAAAACATCATCATGCAGATTAGGGGTTGAACGAGTATATAATTTTTAAACTCGACATTAACATAATAAAACCCGAGTAGAACTTGAGTATTTGATGACGTCATAGATCTCAAGATACAAAAATAAATAAATAAATAAAACCGCAAAAAAAGGTAATTATTTACAAAAAAAAAGGACCAACAAAACATTGGGAGCGTATATTATGCTCCTACCATTTATCATACTGCAAATAAGTCACAGGAAAAACTAAACTATTAGTTATTATTATTATTATTAAACTGCAAACGTGAAGAAGCATGCAGCACGTCAAAAACTAAACTTAAAACAGTGTGTGTGGGGGGGGGGGGGGGGGA